GAACCCCGGCGCCCCGCGTGACCCGGGTCAGGCGCGGGCCGGCGTGCGTCAGCGTCAGTCGACAGCGCAGCGACCCAACCCGGCCCGAGTCAGCTCGCGCAGGCGGATGTACGCCGGTCGCGGCCCACCACGCTCCGTCCGAGCGCACGCCGAGCGTCGCTGCTGGACGGCCGGCCACAGCACCCCGGCAGGCCCCCACTGCACGCGGCGGGCGGCGGCAGGCGTCGCTGCCGGTCCGCCCGACGTACTGCAGTAGACGGCGATGTCGGCGTCGGCTGGCCGGGCGAGCGCACCTCGCGCACCGAGGCGCGCACACTCATGCCGCGCACCTCGTCGTCCGGAGACCACCTCCAGCCGGCCGCACCAGGCGATACGCCTGTAGGGACATGGTACAGTGCAGCGTCGCTGTAGCCGCGCCCGTCCCGACCCGACACTGGACCGGCGCGGGCGGGGCGAGACACCACAGCGACGAGACCAGCAGCTCTGTTCCCCAGGACCCTCTGACACGCACGGACGGGGCTCGACCCTCCGTCCGCACCCTCGCCGATCGTCGGTAGTGCGCGGCTGCACGCGACGACCGCGCCACGCGCAGGGCGGCGTCCGGACGCGCACTCACCGCGGTTGCGTGAGTTACCACAGACAAACCGCAAGACGAACGGCACGGCCAGGCCCACGAACACGGCCGCCATGACGACCACAGTGCCGTAGACGGGGCCGATCATCCAGTCGCGGGCGGCGCCGGGATGGGCGGCGCCACCGGGACAACGACGCCGGACAGTCGGAGGCAGCTGCACGGCCTCCACGCGCTTCTGCCGGCGGCGGGCGGGTGCCGGACGACGGTCAGCGGGGCGGCGACGGCCACACGAGGCGGCGTTCGGTGCGGTCGGTGTCGGTGCGGTCGGGTCGGTGCGGTCGGTCGGTGCTGGGCTCGGTTCGGTGCGGGTCACCGGGTCGGTGCGGTCGCGGTCGGTGCGGGGCGAGAGGTGGCGCTGGGGACACTGTTGCATGCGCGGGACGCGACCGCTTCATGTAGGACCCAAACACGCCGAACAAGAAAAAAAGATGGGACGAACACCAGCAATCTGTGCAAACCATCTCGCAAAAGCATACAAACTAGGGCTTCCGTCATTCCGAAACAAGACACCACAGCGGCACCGAAATATCAGCTAGCGGGCCGACCGACACACTGTGGCGGCTGCGGCCTTCTTCCTCAGACGGCGGACGGCTCGTTCACAAAACGGACCGCTGTCCGCCGTCATGCCACTCCCACCCAGCACCGACGGCCTTGCGAGCCCGCACCACTCAGCACCCCCACCGGGCAGCCCGGCTCACACCCCGAACGGCGTCGTGATGGTGGTGTGTGCACGTCTCAACGTAAGGGCTGAGCGGCGCGAACGGCGCCAACGTCCTGGCCCTCCTCCACCAGCCACGTAGTCGATCGGGAACGGCGTGTGTACGGGTTGTGGCCTAGGAAGTCGTAGAACCTGCCGGCCACAAGCCACAGTCGCGGTCCGGTCCGCGCCGCGGTGGGTTGGCGTGCGTCAGGTGCACATGGTCACTTACGTGCTCTGAACGTCCAGTCCTTAAACTGCAGCTGCTCTCAATGCCCTATCAGGTCATCGGCGACAAAACTGAGGGAGAAAATCCCACCTCCCGACTGAAGGCCGAAAATCAAAAGCGTGAGAGAAAGACGGCGGGAGCGACAGCGCAGTACCGTAATGATGAGAACGCGCCATGCACACACTCTCAGCTGCCCATATCCCATTTCATCGGCTGGCGCGATCACGCGGGTCTGCCGCGGGAACCGATCGTCGGGCGCCGGCGGGCCTCTCGCGGCGTGGTGCACTCACCTCTCGTCATTTGCAGCGGTACCAGCCCCACTGGCCCGCCACATGGCGCCGATCGCCGGCGAGTTGGTCTGCGAGTTCTGCACCTTGGCGCAGCTGTCGTACACGCCGCGCGTGTACGTCCGGTTCACGTAGAACGTCACGCGCGCCACGAAGTCCTTGTCTGCGGACGGGTAGGGCGCCGTCAGAGGAGAGGTCAGGGATCAGCGAAAGGGCTCAGCAAGGAGGGGGGGGGGGGGGCACAGTCAGGAGGGCACGATACGGAAGATGGGAGGGGGGGGGGGGGGGTACAGTTTCACCGTCCCACGACGACGCGCAGAACACGGCAGCGGAGCAGCACGGTGACCAGCACAGGCCGTCCTGTTCGAGCGCTATCCCAGGGACAAGCACGGTGCGGCTCAGAGTGATTCACATTGCACAGGACGCACGCACGTCGGCTTTCTCCTGTGTGCATGATCTTTCTCTCACGCACATTGTCTCTCTTCGATGCGCGCGATCTTTCTCCACGCACGTCGTATCTCTCCTCGGAAACGAGAATACACAACGCAAAAATGACGCGACGGACTCGGCTGATTAAACTACGGCAAGCGGGTTTTCAATTTGCAGCACAGCGCCGAAAAGCGCTTTCCACCCCCATTAGGTATTGGCGGACGCACCACATATAAACATAACGTGTAATACCTCAGCAGGCCTTCACTCCCATTCCGGGTCACCCCTGGCTGCATGCGAGTATAGTGTCTCGGCAACTCGGCCAGAGCGCAGTGCCGCATCCTGTCCTATCTTCTATCCGCGGTACGCGCCACATTCTACACACGAGTCACGTGCGCCGGGCATCGAGCGGCCGCTGGCGCGCCAGCCCTCCGGGGTATCAGTCAATACGCTCGCAGCGGGACCCCCAGAATATGAGCTATAAGCTGCGTACGACACGGTATTAGGTAGCCTCATCTACGGGAGGTCCTTACACCATCGATCTGCGGTCCACCTGTGCCCTCGGCGTGTGAGAGGCGCAGCTGGACCGCCCTCCCGGAGACGGCCGGCTTCTTGAGCCGGCTGTCTTGAGCCGTACCGGCGCCGGCGACAGCGCCAGGCGGCTCACCGAGATATCGACCACCCCGCCCACCCAGAGCTCGTCCCCAGCCCGCCCGGCGCACCGGCCCGGCGGCGGCGGCGCGGATCCCTCACCGGTGGCCTTGTCGTGCTTGACGGCCGTCACGTTCATGAACGTCGACTGCCGCGGCGAGCAGGACATCTCGCAGATGGACTTGCGGAAGTTGTAGTAGCAGACGGGGCAGCGCGCGAACTGCGACGAGGCCAGCACCAGCGACTGGGCCATTTCGCGCACGTTGTCGGGGTCGCAGCAGGTGGCGATGGGTTCCGACGCATCTGACGGCGGGGCGAAGCGGCAGTCAGCCCGTCAGCCCGCCTGCCGGCGGCAGCGGCCCGACACCCGCGCGGCGGCGGCGGCCGGCAACTCTGCAGCACGAGACGCGTCAGTCCAGACAGCACAGTCAGCCGGGCCGAGCCGACCGCTCGCCTTACACACCCGGCTCGCTCGGCGCGACACGGCGGCGACGCGCGCCGGCCCGCCTGTCGAGCTCGCTCCGCCGCCGCCCCTGCGTC